GACAACAGTTAACCAGGTCGGGGACTCTACATGGCGGAGATCGATCTGCATGTTACACGAATCGTTTCATCTTCGTTGCTCACATCACTACCCAGGATACAATGCGTCACGTTTGTATCCTCAGGTTACCTCGTAAAGTCCGTGCCCCATACACGTCCTCTCTTTGGGAAAACCTCCTCGAACCCTAAACTCGGAAACGTCTTGTAAGATTGTAACGTGTGTTTTTGATATGTGTGATTACTTTCCCTTTGGGTTTGGGAAGTTGTATTTGACTCTAATTTGTCACTTTGTACGGACGACCTTTTACACCAGTGTTGTTGGTTGTTATTTTTCCCTAATTTTTTCCATTTACATATTTAATAATTTCCACTGTATAGTACGTTTCTAACCAATCAGAGCAGACTGGGCTCTGGTTTCCGACAGAGGCCGTTTCTCAATCGCGAGTACACATGCTGCAGAGCAACTATTTCAAGTATACTACGTCATAAAGTGGCACAGAATGCTGGGCATTTAAGAATGGATGTATAATAAGAACATTCATGGTTCTGATGTCATTAGTAGTTATGCAGGATATTCAATACAAGGCTTGCTGTCTCTTAAAACCTCAACAGCTAAGGACACATACGCTATGGATTCTGCAATGCTTAAATCATTGCAAGATTACCTAGTCTGCCCTCTTACCCAAATTATCAATTCATCTGTATTAGGTACATGGGACATTCCCAAGTGCCTGGAAGACTGCAATTGTAACCCCCATTTTTAAGTCAGGTGACCCTCTGAGCATCAACCGCCCAATTAGCATCTTACCTGTAGTATCCAAGGTGGCTGACAGAACAGCTTGTCTCCTTCAACTTCATCCCATGCAGTTTGGCTTCAGGGCAAATTATTCCTCCAAAACAGCCAACTGCTTTTTTATAAAAAAGGTCAAAGCAATGGTTGACAAAGGAAGGAGGGGTTGTTGGTGCAGTATTCTTGGATCTACGCAAAGCTTTTGATAGTCAATCATAAGGTCCTTCTGTCCAAACTGTCAGCTTTTAACTGCACTCCATTAACACTCAGTTGGATTGAATCATACCTCACTGGTAGGCGTTGGCATGTTATCGTCAATAATGAACTCTCTCCAGCTCTAGACTTAAGCACCGGAGTACCACAAGGTTCAATACTTGGTCCACTTCTTTTTACTGACTAAAGGAAACATCAAAAATACTTTACAAACTTTTATAATTCTAATAAAAAATAAAATGGTGTTGTATTGCTTCACATGTTTATCTCTTACTATTAAAGCGATGTGTTTTACTTTTTTGTTTCCACACACGATACAAGAAGTGTTGACAAACGACCAGTGCCCTGTGAAAGTAGATGGGAGACCCCAGAGCTGCAGTGAAGTTGTGCTGCTCCCTAGTGTCTGTTTCCTGTCAGGATGCAAAGAAAAAGGAAATCCATGGAGCAGGGCACTACAGTTAACGTTTGTTTAATTTCAAAACACAGCATTTAAGCTCAATATAACCACATGTACACAATTTAGAGATTGCAAAAATGAAGTAAAAAAAGAAAAAAAAGGTTACATCTACAGTGATTTTTTTCCAGAAAAAAACTCAAAGAAAATGTTAAACCTATTTACCGTATTCACATTAAAGAAGCAACACATTGTGCTTTCTAGAGATTCTATGAAATAAAAAAACACTAAAAGCAAATAGAAAATGTGGAATAAGCTGTTTTAAGAATTTAAATTTTAACCACTTTTTTTTCATCATTTTGTAAATGTTTATAATCCGTACAACCGCCTTGCATTACAAACAACAAAGAGAATATGACTACTACCAAAGACAGAAAGATTGCATCAGTGTAATAACGCATTTACAGAGCATACATGATTTTAAAAGACAGGCTCATTCAACCAGGAGTCAACTTTACAGAGTGGCCTGGAGTTAAGACATTTAAAAAGATATTCAGATAAAAGAGTTGTGCTTTACTTCTTGGCACAGTCTCAGAAAAAAAATCACCTGTTGTACTGGTCACAGCGCACATCTAAGAGAAGCAAGTTGAAGCAGAAGAAGTAAAAACATCTCTCTCCGCATTTGAAGGATCGTCACGCTTCAACCAGAAGTCAGCAGGTTTCCTTTGACCATTTCTGGTTTATAGAGAGCAAGGTAATCATGATCCCTTCACAGCATCCACTCACTCGTATCTACTTTTGTTATAAATGCTAAAACACATTTGTGAATGCAAAAAAAGGTTTCTCTCTGAAATTCTCTAAGAAACTGTGATATGCATATTGTCACGTAAACTTGAATTAAGATTCTTGTGATAGGAATTTCTGACTCATTTTGGTGGAGATGATCAATGCTGCACAGTCAAGGATGTGTGGACAATTCCCGCTTCTGTTCAGGGAGATGAGGCTTTACGACTTAACAGCAACGTGGAGAGAATAACAAGCAGTCTGGTGAAGAGGTGAATTACCGTAAAGTCTGGAGTAATGTCCTCTGCTTCACCATCGTCTGTAAAAACACAAAACTGCTTCCAGTAGTAAAAAAAACTTCTCATCTTTGTCAAACTCGTCAAGGTTTCTCCCATTTCTTTTTTTTTTTGGATGAGCATGGTCCTCCTATTGAGACTCTTTTCTTCAAACAGCTGCATTTCAACCAAACAGCTCATCTTTGTCCTTCTCAAATCCTCAGAGTCGAGCTGAGTTCACAGCTTACAGTCATCGCTGTAGAATAGTGGCTCATCAATGTATTTAAAAATAAAAAATGCCACAGGAGATATTGTCCAGAGATGCAAAAAATTCCATTTCAGACCTGTAAGACGTGCTGCATGAAAAACTGGTCCCAGATATCGGATTTAACCTAAAATGCTAAAAGAAAGTCAATCGACATGTGTAATATATACAGTATCAGAGGCTATAACTGGAGGATATTGCAAACTTGCAGACTTGCAATTTAAATCCCATTAGCAGAAAGATGAGATGATGCGACATGAAATGTATCTATTTTACAGTTTTATCTATGTGAGAATTAATGTTTACACTTCACCTATTCCCGTATTCCTCCTGTATTTATCATGTGAAGGCATTTTCTTACTCTTTCTGAGAGAGTGCAGTACAGTACTTTACAAAAACAACAACCAGTAGTAATCAGTGTTAGTCTAAGGAGCACTTCCAAAGTCCTCAACACTGCACTCCGTGTTAGCTGTGACACTGTGCATGTCGTGGTGCATTCATGTGTAAAAAAAGAAAGTTGGAGTGTAAAAGTCGGCCCTGGCTCCATCACATTGAGAGCTGCAGATGGATTCCCAGCACCGATGATGATTCTGTGCACTATGACTTTGCTCCAACAAACCAGCAAACAAGCACACGTGGTTTTTCCGTTTAAATTCAAGTGAGATGGAGGAGGGAACGGGAGAGGGAAGAGGGGCTGAAATGAGTGAAGGACACAGGAGAGATGTCAGTGCTGCGGACAGGAGGGGTCCACTGTGGTTTAGTGAGCGGGTGGGGGGCTGTTGGGGTCCCGGCGGCTGTTGGGGTCCCGGCGGCTGTTTGGGTCCCGGCGGCTGTTGCGTTCTGGGCGACTGTTTGGGTCTGGGCGGGTGCTGGGGTCCTGGCGACTGTTGCTAGGGTCCGGGCGGGTGTTGGGGTCCGGGCCAATGCTGGGTTCAGGGTGACTATTGGGGTCTGGGAGACTGTTGGGGTCCGGGCGGCTGTTGGGGTCCGGGCGGCCGTGGGCCAGGTACTTGGCCCGCATGCTGGAGGTGTACTGTGGATGAAAAAGAGAACATGACACACACAAAACAAAACGAGAATTAGGATTTTGCTCTTCATAGTTGAATAATGACTTGCAAGTATTAGAACAATGTTAAATATCCCTTCTTTTAAAGGTCTCCTATTATACTATTTTTAGGCATTTATTATAGGTCTCAGATATATAGAAATATATAAAAAACATGTCTATAAAGTGTTTTGCTCAAAATACCAAACAGATCACCCATTCTAGCCATGCCTCATACCCCTCTATTTCAGCACTGTTAGAGAAGTGCTGATTCTGGGTCCGTAGCTTAAAAAAAAAGGTTTTACGAAAGAAATATCTGAAAAAAGACATCAAAAAGCAAGTGAGGGTCATACAAATATAGTGATGGAAAATACAACAGAACAACATGATTCCACAGATCAGAGACTCGAGTTACCTTTGACTAGTTACCCCAGACTGCTGGAATCTAAAGGGATGTTAAATAGTTCACACAGAGAGAGAACATCACAGCTACAGTGGACGAGGACATCATACACATATTCTAGTTTTTGCTTTTAACTGTCGTGCACATTCGTATACATTTAGGATGCACCCATGCTTATTTTGGATGCAGGCGATACAAGCACAGAAAGGCTGCATCTCAAACTCGTGTGGAAACACTTCTTTGACTTCTATTTACATTTTGTTTTTGATTAGCCTTCAGTGTTTGCACCAACATGAGCTTCATAAAAAGTGACTTACTTGGATGTTAAATACAATTGCACAATTTTTAATGCAGAAACTAAAGATTACTTTCATTACAGATTCAGTTTTAATTAAATGTAAAGCCTTATATGTCAAATAAAAGAAGAAAAAATGCCTGTTGCATGCCTAATTTTTGCTTTTATGGATTACGCAGATTTATTTTATCTATAAAATGTAAGAAAATAGTGAAAGCTGTCCATCCCAGTTTCTCAAAGCCAGGTTTAATGCCTTGTTTTAAAAGTCAAAACTGGAAAAAATAAAAGAAGTATGTCTCGATATTTGAAAGCAGCAGTCAGCCTTTTTTGAGTATTAGGGCCACACTTAGAAGAAAAAAAAAACAGAGTGATTTCGAGAATAAAGTCGTAATAATACGAGAATAAAGCCATAGTTACGAGAATAAAGTCATAGTTACGAGAATAAAGTCATAGTTACGAGAATAAAGTCATAGTTACGAGAATAAAGTCATAGTTACGAGAATAAAGTCATAGTTTCATAAGTGACTTGAGAAGCTGACTTGGAGTAGATTGTCTCCTTTCTGCAGGAGGAAATGGCTGCTTCTGGCCGACTACATTACATTACATTGCATTTAGCTGACGCTTTTATCCAAAGCGACTTACAATAAGTGCGTTCGAC